TTTTTTCTTTTTGCTTATGTGGTGCTGAAGAATCGAACCCAGGGCCTCATGCATGCAAGGCAAGCACTCTACCACTGAGCCACCTTCCCAGCCCCGAAGCAGGATGGTTTATACCGCAAAGGCGATATGCGTGCTGTGCTGTGCATGAAGTATAGGTAGATCACGGTCCTGGGCCAACGCTGAGCAAAAGTATGAGCCCCTTCCCGAAAAAATAACTAAAGCAAAGCAAGCTGGGGGTATGGCTCACATGGTAGAATGCCTGCCTTGAGAACCCGAGACCCCAAGTTCAAACCTCAGTACCCTCAAACAGGATAAAATAGCAGCTAGATCTGTCAGGACCAGCGTGAAAAGAACTGTGAGAATCATAAGGGGCTTCCCGTGGCCTGAGGGCCTGGGCCAATGGAGCCAGAACAAAGCATCACTCAGTATTTCCCATCTTTACCTTATTTATTTTTTATTCTTTTTAGAGACAGGGTTTCACTGTGTGGCCTGGAACTTGCTCCGCAGCCCAGGCAAGCGTGGAATTCTCCATCCTGCTTCATGCCTGCTGCTCCCCGGCCCTGACCCAGCACTGCCTTCCTGAGCCTGTTCCCAGAGGTCGGCAGAGGCCAATGAGGAGAAGGCGGCATGCCCAGTTGTACAGCTTTGTGCAGATGGAGTAGGCGGGGCACTGGGAGGAGAGAGGCTGCCACCCGGAGAGGGTGTAGGGGAGGGACCCTGATCTAGGCCAAAGATCAGGACAGGTGAGCAGAAACAGGGTGAATACAGTTTATCTTGAACCTAGCATCTTGGTTTTCTTGTTTGTTTGTATACTGGTACTAGAACTTGAACTCAGGGCCTGGGTGATGTCCTTTAGATTTAATGCTCAAGGCTGGCATTCTGCCACTTGAGCCACAGCTCAACTAACTTCTGGCCTTTTGCTGGTTAATGGGAGACAAAAGTATCACGGCCATTCCTGCCAGGGCTAGCCTTTGATTGCAGGCCTCAGATCTCGGCCTCCTGAGTAGCTGGTGTGAGCCACCAGCATTTGACAGTATGTTGTGTTTTGTTTTTTTTTTTAATTTTTTCAACTTTGAATCTTTTTAGGGTAGCCCACTGCAATGGAGGGACTGACATCAGGTCCTTAGCGCCCCGGCCGGGCAATGGCCGGTTGCTGCTGGCTTCTCTGAGGAACACGGCTCTGACTTGGCCAGAGAAGGCACTGGGCAGGGTGGCGGGCACAGTCCGGCCGGTCTAGATGGCATCGCCCTCACTGTCAGACTCGATGGTGTCCAGGGGCTGCAGTCGTAGGGAGTCGTAGTTGGGGGGCGGGGTCCCCGGGATGGGCAGAGTCCTCTCCTCGGGGTAGGCGGCCGTGTGGGGGTCGGGGCTGGCTGCGTCAGGCTGGAAGCCGAAGTTGGTGTGGGCCTCCACCAGCTCGGCCACGGTGGGTGGGGGGCCGGAGTACAGGGCCCGCGCTCGTCTCTGCCGCAGGCCCTTGCAGAAGGCCACCATCTTGATGACCGTGATCCACAGGAAGTCGATGATGATCTCCCCAAACTCGATGAGACACAGCACCGAGCCCCCCATCCAGAAGCCAAACTGGCCGCCCAGGTTCGAGAGCAGCCAGACAATCTGGGGGAGGAGAGCTCGGGTCTGATGGGGGTCAGGGCAGGCACATTCCTGCCCCCAGCCCAGACTCGGGGCCCCTAGGTGGTGAGGTACAGTGGGGAGGGGAGCTGATGGCCATCAGCGTAGGGACAGCTTTGGACCTTCGATTTTGCATGCCAGTACTGGGGTTTGAACGCAGAGCCTGGCTTGGGCACTGTTCCCGCGCTTTTTCATTCAAGGCTAGTACTCTGCCACTTAAGCCCCAGCTCCACTTCTGGCTTTTTGGTGTTAATTGGAGATAAGAGTTTTACAGACTTTCCTACCCAGTCTGACTTTGAACCTCTATCCTCAGATCTCAGCCTCCTGAGTAGCTAGAGTTGTACACAGGAACCACCAGCCTGCAGCTAGTTTTGGACTTTCTTAATCCCCACCTTGGGGTGCAGAGGTGAAGGGGGAAGGGGCTCCCCAAACTCACGTTGTTGGCTGGGGTTTCCTCAATGGTTCGGTAGTTGAATTCTTGGAAGTAGATGTTAAGTTTGACAACGTCCTTCCTGTAGGAGACAGCAAGTTGGTGGAGACTGCGCACACACACACACACACACACACACACACAGAGCAAGGCAGCCTTTTTTGGTCGGTTGTGGGGTTTGAACTCCTGGACGCTGTCCCTCAGCTCTTCAGCTCAAGGCTAGTGCTTTACCACTTGAGCCATAGCGCTGCTTCCAGTTTTCTGACTGTTTATTGGAGATAAGAGTCTCACAGACTTTCCTGCCCGGACTGGCTTTGAACTGTGATCATCAGATCTCAGCCTCCTTAGTGGCTAGGATGACAGGTGTGAGCCACTGGTGCCTGGCACAAGGCAGCTTTTTGCTGGTTAACTGGAGATAAGAATCTCCCAAATTTTCTCTTCCTTTCTTTCTTTCTTTTTTTTGGGTCCAGTCATGGGGCCTGAACTCTGGGCCTGGGCGCTGTCCCTCAGCTCTTCAGCTCAAGGCTAGCTCTCTACCACTTGAGCCACAGCGCCACTTCTGGCTTTTTCTGCTTATGCGGTTCTGAGGAATTGAACCCAGGGCCTCATGCATGCAAGGCAAGCGCTCAATCACTGAGCCACCTTCCCAGCCCCCCAAATTTTCTTGCCTACGTTGGCTTTGAACCTCAACCCTCAGATCTTAGCCTCCTGAATAGCTAGGATTGCAGGCTTGAGCCACCAACACTTGTCTATGTCTTTGTGCTGAATGGATGGTGTGTGGATGAATGCATGGAGGGGTGGATGGGTGAGGGGAAGAATGGATGGGTGCGGGATGGAGGGTGGATGTTCCAGTCATAAGTGGAACCGTGTGCTGCTCCTTTAGGGACTGGCAGACCCCAGCCGCCCGGCAGCCTCCCCCCTCCCTGCCCTTCCTTTGTGCTGGCTGTGGCTCCTCCCTAATCTGCCCTCCCAGCCCCGCCCAGGCTCCAGCTCACCTGCTCATGGTGATATTGGGGCTCTGGTCCCGCTCCTGAGACAGGACGTGTAAAATCCAGTCCTGGAAACACAAAGGACAGCTGAAAAACATGGCCTCTGAGCGCTCCCCCCAGGCCCCTGCCCCGGCCACAGGGAGGTGAGCTCCCGCCCTGTTCTGTCCCAAAGTTGGCGTTGGGGGCAGGGGGGTAGCACAGGAGAAAGTGGAGGCCTGGCTGCTGTGGGGGTGGGGGGGTCCCCCATTGCTGTCTCCAGCGTCCTCCCCTAGGGGACAGCCACTGGATCCTCAGCCCATTCTCACCCCACACCCAACAATTGCTGCTCCCAGAATCCTCCCTGGCTCTGCCTCGGGGGCAGCTCAGATGTCACATTTTAAGAGGGGTCTTCCCTTGTTTCTTCCTTAGTCCTGTCTCTCAGATTCATAGCCCTGATGGCACAACCCCCCCCCAGGCCCCCCCAACCAGGGTTTGAACTCAGGGCCTCACACTCAGTTTTACTGCTTATGGCTGTAGCCCCGCTTTTTGTGTGTACGTGTGTGGACCTGGGGCTTGAACTCAGGGCCTGGGCGCTGTCCATTGGCTTTCTTCACTCAAGGCTAGTGCTCTACCACTTAAGCCACAGTGCCATTTCCAGCTTACTGCTGGTTCATTGGAGATAAAGTGTTTCATGGTCTTTTCTGCCTGGGCTAGCTTTGAACCGTGATCATCAGATCTCGGCCTCCTGAGCAGGATTCGAGGTGTAAGCCACCAGTCTCTGTTTCGATCTCGTTTCTGTGTGTGTCTCCCTCCCCAGCGGTGTCACATGTGTGTGGAAGAGAAGGAAGGGGAAAGCAGGGCACCCCCTAATTCCTATACATATCCTCAGCTCAAAGGTGGGGACCAGGAGCTTCTCACCCTGCCAGCTCACCTCCGAAGCCTCGGAAGGCCAGTCAGCCATGGAGATGGTCATCTTGTACTGGGTATCACTGACAGAGAGAGACAAGGCGCCGCCGCCATTCACGCCGGCTCCCCAGCGGGCCCCGCCCACACCTCATACCTCATCCACTCGCCACGCCCAAGCCACCGTGCCCCGCCCCGCCCACTCCCCTAGGCTCCGCCCCGGGTGCCCCACCCACCTCTCAAGCCCCGCCCCCAGCCACCACACTCACTTGCAGGACCCCTGGCACATGCTGATGCACGTCTCTCTCTGGGCCATGCTCATCTGCAGGCCCAGGTAGCAGGAGGCTGGGGAGGGGAGGGGCTGCGCTCAGGAGCCTTTTGGGGCGAGCTGGGGCAGGGGGGGCCTCCCCCAGAGACCTCCCCGCGTGCGTCTGCTCTCCATGCCCCGCTCATCTATGGGAGTCTCGGTCCTAGCTCTTCTGCCATGAGGAAGCCTGGCCCTCCCTGTCCCGGCCCGCAGCCAGGCTGGGGTGTGCTCCCCGCAGAGGTCCTGGACACAGCCCAGCACAGCCATGGAGCTCTGGGACCATGGAGCATGGGAGTGTGCGCTGTGATGCTCTGCGACTGCTCGCCGCTGACCACATCCAGGTACTGTGGGCCCCCGCGGCTGCCAGGCCCGGGCTCCAGCTAGGCATGGTCCTGCATGACCCCAGGTTCGAGCCTGTGGCCCCCATCCCGGCCACACACACACACACAAACCTGTGCGCCCAGGCTGGGCGTGCGTGCAGGTGCAGACAGTGGAGTCATCAGAGCCTGCGTGTGCATACACACGGGTCCTGCACCCCCCAGCGCCAGTCCTCTGCATCACGAGTGTGACTCGCACACGTGCATTTGCAGATGGGTGAACACACGCACACACTCGCCCCTTCTCCCCACCCGCCCTGGGCCCCCTGCTCACCCCAGTCCGGGAAGTCCCGGTCATTGCAGTAGCGCTCCCCGGGCGGCAGCGGGTACAGGTAGTGACCGCAGCTGCAGTTGTGAACCATGTGGTCTTGGAAGCAGGAGTGGAGACAGGCCTGGGGGGAGTGGAGGGGAACACAAGCAGCCTGTGGGGCTCCCACTCCACAGAAAGGAGCCCGGCTGGGTGCTGTAGCGCATGCTTGTAGTCCTGGCTACTCAGGAGGCTGCAGCCAGTCTGGGCAGGAAAAGTAGGTGAGACTCTTATATCTGCAATTAGCCGGCAAGTGTGTGGTGCGGCTTAAGTGGTAAGCCTTGAGTTAAAAAAAAGCTAAGGGATGAGAGAAAGGGGTGGGGGAGAGGAAGAGAGAAAAGCTGGAAGGAATGAGGGAGAGAGGGAAGGAAGGAAGGAAGGAAGGAAGGAAGGAAGGAAGGAAGGAAGGAAGGAAAAGAAACTCATCCAGAGAAGTTAAAGCCAGGCCCTGGTGGCTGAGGGGCCGGAAGTGGCCCCATTTGCAAAGTGAGATGACCCTAAAGTCAGACTCAGGCCCTTGTAGTAGGGTAGCTGTCCTTCTGATCAGGGTACTGTCCTGCATCCTGGGCCTGGCCCCAGCAGCCTGGGCCCCGTAGACGCTGCGGCAGGGTGGCTTGCCCCAAACCCATGCTTCGCCCAGGCTCCACCTGCATAGTTCTTCCAGCGGCTCTGCGCATGCGCAGAACCTGACCACAGCAAGCTAGCTCGGAGCTCCCGCCTCCAGGAGGGAGCCGAGCATGACCTTTGACTTAGAGTGGCCAGCAGGGAAGGACAAGGGGGGGACACGCAGGCCTCCAGTGGTGTGTTCAGGTCATCCTGACCTGGTTTCAATCTTCTCAGGGACCAGCCACATGTGCCGGGGCCTCAGTTTACTCTGGGCCACACAGGGGATAGCCACGCTCAGTGAGTAGTTGGTACTCAGTCTCCTCCCTTGGCTCCTCCCCGTGTTGGACTGAGCACAGAGTACCAGCAAAAGGTTGTCTGTCAGCCTTGCCCTCTCAGGTTAGCTGAGGCTAGGGACGGATCGCTCTGGGCCAACCCCAGAAACCAGAGCAAGAAGGAAGCTCCCAGTTACAGCAAGGGAGATTGAAGGCAGATACAAAGGGGGACTTCCCAGGTAAATTGACCAGGCAGGTAGATTGGGGATGGTCAGTCTATTTCCTTGTTCCTAATTAGGGATTGAAAAGAGCATGGCTCTCATTAGGGCGCTGGGAGGTGAGGGTTATATGACATAATCGAGTAATGTCCTTGCAGTGGTAAAGCCTGCCCAGCACCAGGTGAGCGGCTGTCATGGTGTGTTCCAACAGCGTGTTGCCTCGTGGAATGGGGTCAAAGATGATGTAATATACCAGCGCCCGTGGCTCCCGCCTGTCACCCTAGCTACTCAGGAGGCTGAGATCTGAGGATCATGGTTCAAAGCCAACCCCGGCAGGAAAATCCATATAAACCACTAGAAAACTGGAAGTGGCGCTGTGGCTCAAGTAGTAGAGCACTGGCCATGAACTGAAGAGCTGAGGGGCAGCGCCCAGGCCCAGAGTTCCAGCCCCACTACCGACAAAAAAATAATAATGCACCCACACTTAGCGCAGTGTGTTACCCACAGGCATGACTCACGGATGATAACTATCATCTCTTCTGGCTTCTTCTTGGGACACCTGCAGAGTGACACCCGGGCTGTCTCCAGGGGGAGGAATGGCAGCCAGTGCTGTGTCAGCGTGCCCTGTTCTGCCTTCAGAGGTTCAGCAGGACTGGGCACCAGTGGCTCACACCTGTCATCCCAGCTACTCAGGAGGCTGAGATCTGAGGATCGCAGTTCAAAGCCAGTCGGCACAGGAATGTCTATGAGACTCATCTCCAGCTAACACCAAAAAGTTGAAAGTGGAGCTGTGGTTCAAGTGGTAGAGCACCAACCTTGATGAAAAAGGCTACGGGATGAGCCAGGTGCCAGTAGCTCGCGCCTGTAATCCTAGCTATGCTTACGTGGCTGAGATCTGAGGATCGTGCTTGGGCAGAAAAGTCCATGAGACTCTTATTTCCAGTCAGCTATTCAGAAAAAGCTGGAAGTGGCGCTGTGGCTCATGTGGTAGAGTGCTAGCCTTGAGCACAAAGAGGCTCAGGGACAGCGTCCAGGTCCTGAGTTCAAACCCAGGACCAGAAAAAGGGTGGGGGAGGTCAGGGATAATGATAATGACCAGGCCCTGAATTCAAGCCCTGGGACCTACACACACACACACACACGCGCGCGCGCACACACACACACAGGCCCAGTAGGCCAGGGGTGCCCGTGGCCTGGAGACCCAGGTCCTACCTGGATGGAGTAGGTGGTGTTGAAGCTGCTGTAGAGGTTTTGGATGGCGACGTCGGAGCCGTTCACGGTGCACGGGCTGTAGGGCTGGCCCTTGCGCTGCAGCTTGTCCTGGGAGGAGCGGGTGCTCATGGGGACCCCAGGCCCTCCCCCCTTGGAAGCCCGCTGCAGTTGGGCCCCGGGCTTGGGAAGGTGCACCTCCACCCTCGGCCCCGGGCAGCCTCTGGGCCCCAGCTGTACCACCAGCACCCCGATGGACGTCTCGGTCCCCGACATGGCGTAGATGCCCTCTTCCCTGATGAAGGGGAACGCCCTCTGCTCGTGCAGCATCAGCCGGGCCCCCGCCGTGGATGCCAGGAAGGGGACGTAGTCCTCCTGGCCGATGTCCAGGATCAACTTCAGACCTGCGGGGAAGGCGGGCCAGGGCTGCTGAGCAAGAGCCCGGATGTGGGTGGGGGAGGGGGGGTACTCGCCGCTTCTCTGACCCAGCTTCCAGTACAGCCAGGGGGCCCATTCGGGCCTGCCAAAGGAGGCTGGCGCAGTGGCTGAATACATGGACCCCAAACATTTCTTGCCTTCTCCAAAGCACCCACGATTTCCTTCTTGGGCCCTTCTCTCCCCGAGTTCCATAACCTTTATTCTGCATAGCAGGTGGATCTTGGATGTACAGCACGCCCCGCCCAATCATTACCTAGCCCATGCCACAAGCCCCGCCCACTCCACAGCCCCGCCCACCCTATACAGCCACACCCACTCACACCGCCTGGACCAGTCAGGCCCCGCCCACTCAACAGCCCCGCCCACCCTGTACGGCCCACCCACTCACAGCCCCTGGACCAGTCTACAGTCATGCTATCAGCAAGCCCCGCCCACTCTTCCCAGCACCTAGCCCCGCCTCGTTTCCAAGCCCCTCCCATTCCACAGGCCACACCTGCTCACCCGGCTTGGTCCACTCCACACAGCCAGCCCCAGCCAGCAGGCCCCGCCCTCTCCGCGCAGCCCCTCCCCTCCAAGGCCCCGCCCTCCTCCTGAAAGTTTCACCTCTGAATTTCTCTGCTCCTTCCTGCTGCGGGACCGCTGCAGTGCTGTTCCCTCTGTTCCCACCCGCATCCTTCACCCGGGGCCTCCTGCTCTTCCTTAGATGGCAGTCCAGGTGTCACCTCCTCGGAAGCTTTGGAACTTTCCTTGCCTCGCTTTTCTCTCCTCCCCCCCTCCCAGCCCCTCAGGGCGTAGATCCAGGATTCTGCCCACCCTGGTCCTGAGCGCAGCGGGCATGGAGCTAAGGCTGCGCTGAGGGCGGCAGGGCTGGCGTTTACTGAGGACTCCATTCGTGCGGAGTGCTGCCTTCGATTGTGTGTGTTTATTGTGAGACAGGCTGGCCGCACACTGGCAATGATGCTTCTCCATTGCTGGGATTACAGGTGTGCGCACCAGGCTCTTCCCAGCCCTTCCCGAGGGGACAGACTAAGGCTTTCGCCTGAAAAGAAGGGTCTTTGGCCCACAACCACCCCCCCACTGTCTCCTGCTCCTTCGCTCTCTGTCTCTGGGATTTTCTCTCTTCAAGAACCGTACAAGCAAGGTGAGTATGGTGGTACAAACCTATAATCCCAGCACTCTGGAAAAAGAATGAGGATGGAGAGTTCCAGGCCAGTCTAACCCCTGCTTAAAACATCAAAATAACAAACTGCGTACAGAGAGACTGAGCAAATAAATGCCACTTAGAAACTGGAGATTGTGGAGATTTTAAAACTTCGTAGAATATTCAGTATACTTAAGGTTTTTTTAAATTGTTTTTCTCTCAGTACTGGAGTTTGAACTCAGCACATCATACTTGCTAGGCTAGCACTCTGCTACATGAGCCACAGCTCCAGTCCCAGCTTTTTGGTGGTTAATTAGAGATAAAAGTTTCACAGACTTTCCTGCCTAGGCCTGGCTTCAAACCTCCATCCTCAGATCTCAGCCTCGTAAGTACCTAGGGTTACAGGCATCAACCACCAGCACCTGGCTGACCTTGGATCTCGATCCTTCTTATGTGCGTCTCCTGCAGAGCTGGGATTGCAGATTGCACCACTAGACCTAGTTTATCTGTTGAGATGGGTTCCTGCTATGCCCAGGCTGGCCTCTTTGAACTGTGATTCTCTTGATTGTGGTGTCCTGAGTCGCTGGAATTACAGCCATGCACTTCCACCAGCAATACTCACCGAATTCAGTTCCAGGGTTGGCAGAAGGAAGGGCCTGCTCCGTCATGCCCCAGTTGAAGATGTAGCAGTTGCCATAATATGGGTAGAAGATGGGTGTGAAATTCCTAAAAAGTAAGAATCATGGGCTGAAGGGGCACACTACCAAGGGCCGAGCCTCTTGGGAGTGTCTGCCATCCTGGCTGTACAGAATGGAGGCAGCTGCTTCCAGCCACTGCTCAGAAGCTGAAGAAGGGAGGCAAACCACAGGCCACCCCTCTGCAGAAGCCAAAGGTGGGCTCCCAGATGCCTTGGGCCCAGTCCCTCTGCCTTAGCCGTGAGTCCTGAGAAAGATCTTTCACTCAAGGCTGGCGCTCTACCACTTGAGCCACAGCTCCACTTCTGGCTTTTTGCTGGTTAACTGAAGAGTCACATTAATTTTTCTGCCTGGGTTGACTTTGAACCTAGATCAGAGCATTTTTTTTTCTGGTAGTGCGGCTTGAACTCAGGGCCTGAGTGCTGTCCCTTAGCTTTTCCACTCAAGGCTGGCAGTTTACCACTTAAAGCTACAGCTCCACTTCTGGCTTTTTGGTGATTAATTGAAGATGAGAGTCTTACAGACTTTCCTGCCTAGGCTGGCTTCGATCACTGATCCTCAGATTTCAGCCTCTCAAGTAGCCTGAATTATAGGTGTGAACCACTAGTGCCAGTATCCGAAAGAATTTTCTCAGAAGTTTACTTGTCTCACCCACATCTCCCCAAAGAAACAGCCATATCCTAAACCGCAAGGACCTGTGGCTATAACCTCATTTGGACAAAGAGCCCTCGCACTTTTTTTTTGTTGGTTGTGGGACTTGAACTCAGGGCCTGAGCGCTGTCCCTGAGCTTTGTTTTCCTCCTCAAGGCAAGCACTCTACCACTTGAGTCACAGTGCCATTGCCAACAGTTTCTGTGGATGTGGTGCTGAGGAATCGAACCCAGGGCTCCATGCATGCTAGGCAAACACTCTACCACTAAGCCACCTTCCCAGCCCCTCATATCTTTTTT